AATACTCATATCAACCGTGAGCTAACTCAAAGGTTGTTTATTTTGTTGATTTAAATACAATTCATGCCTAAAGTACTTTCAAATCATCACATAACTTAATAGTGTTAAGTTCATGCCAACAAAATAAACACTATTTAGGTCATCTCTTTGTCATTATTATAGACATTTTTCAAAATAAAAGGACATATAGTTACACTGATCAATAGAAGGGATGAGGAATTTGGCACGAGAATAAACTATGAGGATTAAAAACAAAACACGTGAATTGTCCTTATATATGCACACGCAAAGCAGACATGAATGTTATGATACAAACCGAAATAATGAGATTGACAGCAACGAAGTAGTCAGATTCAACAATCAACGAAGCGCTATCCACGGTTCCAAATCGTTGTGCAGTTCCATGGAAAGTCAAGTTTGGCCATTTCTGAGGATCACCATAAAGAGTCACAAAAGGCTTCGTCTTCTCTATCTTTATCTTCTCATAGTAAGTCCCGCTTCCGATATACACAATCACTCGTCTCCGGTTACCTTCCGGGATGCTGTTAATGGCCGCCGTCACCGTCCTGAAGTCCCCACTTCCATCTTTCATCACCTTCACCATCCTCACACGTTTCTCTGCTTCTGCAACTGAAGGTTGAATCATCGTCCTTCGTCGTCGTAACTGTGTCGACAATGGCTTCACGTTCTCCTTGAACCATTTGTTCAGCTGGGACTTGTCGCCGGGAACTGGGGCGGTGTCGTCGGAGACGACAGTGGTGATGTTGGTGCCTGTGATGAGAGCTGCAATGAAAGCAGCCACAATAATAATGGTGGAGCTGCTTGTTGCTTTTGCTGCCATATCGTTTTTTCTTTCATGTGATCATTGATGATGATGGTTTGAGATATATATATATATATATATATCTGAGAGACGATGAAGAAATGTAAAGGCATGACTGTGACTGGTTGAGACTTGGAGAGGGAGATGGATCTTTGATGTTTGTTTCAATGTACGTATCTGGGTTTTATGAAATTAGACTGTTATGATTATATTTTATTCCATATATTTCTTCGCGTTCTAATTTTGTTTAGTTCTTCATAAAATGTTACCAAACCTTTATTGAAATATTTTTAATTATCTTGCCAACATGAATATCTTGAATAGATTAATGAACGTCCTGAATTAGAATAATACATTTTAGATTCACATGAGCTTATATAACATCGATATCAAATAAGAATATGCCAATTAAATACATCTTAAAATTTTAGTGTGTGTTTGATTTTTGTGTTAAAAGCTATTAAAACCACAATATTGGAACAGGAGATAAAAACCATGGAGAGCTCTGTAATTGATTTGATTAATTTTCAATGTAAAACTGGACATACCATAATAAATTTCAAGCCACTCATGAAAACTAGACCGGTCAAAGCATTGATTGGGATGGTCAAAACCGTTACCAAACTACATCAAACCATTTATAAATTGATCATTTATTAAATCAATTAAAATATTAATTTAATTGTTTAACGATTTAATCAGGCAGGTTGACCAAATTTTTATATGCACTAATATATATAGTCATGTACTTCCTTTATTTCTATTTGTAGGATAAACAAATTACATCACACAATTTAAAAAAATTAGTTAACTATATTAATTATGTTTGAAAATAAAAATTAGACTACAATACTCTTTATTAATTATATTAATTAAGCCTTTATTAATTATTTCTTATGATTATAAATGATAAATATATAAGGGATGATTTAAAAAATTTGTAATAAATGTCTATTGAAAAATGTGATTTTTTTATATAAAAAAATAAATTAAAAGTAATAGTTTTTTTCTATAAATAAAAACGAAGGGGTAGTTACTTAGAAAAACAGACATCACCATTTAGTTTCCTTGATATATATAGAAGGGTCATATTATATGATAATTTAAATCTTCTCTCTATCTTTTTGCAACGGAGTGAAAGGAAACAGTAGGACAACATATACAAAATTATTGCATGTCAATGAATTAGGATATGAAGTTTTTTTTTTTTCTTGAGTATGTATCCTCTTATTAGAAGCATGATTAGATACTAAATGAGGATATCTCTCTTAATAAGAATTCAAATTTTAATTAAGTTTATCATGTTTATAAAGGATCAGTTCTTCTCTTGAATTTCAACTACACTGCTCGTTGGTAGGATATGATGTTAAGTCAAAATAATTAATCACTACTTTCTTCAAAATATATATACATGCACATATTTACAACTTTTTTCCATGAGTTTACAAGCAAGTATATGCAAGCAAAAGTCTTCCATCGGTGGTTTTATTTTGTGAGTCTTCAACACTCTTCAAAAGTTTGAAATAGTTTTCCATTATCTTTGGAAATCTTCCACGTTCTGCACGTCTTTCTAAAACAAATTTCTTCCATGAACTTGCAAGTATTTGCAAGTCATCCATCTCTTGTCCTCTTTGACACTCTTCAATGCTCTTCTGAAGATTTTTTTTTTGAAAACTTGTCATCATATTCTGAAAATTAACCAAGCATCTAAATTTTTAAGAATAAAATAGTGCATTTTTCTTGGAAAACCAAAGTCAGATTGTATGAAACTCCTGAGTTAATTTTTTTTCCTTCAAAACTAATTATTATCCTATTCTGAAAATTAACCAAACATGTAAAATGTTCAAAATAAGATGGTACATTTTTCCTGAAAAGTCGAAGTCACGTGCATCCGGCTCTCGGATCAATAATTTTTTTCCCTCGAAAACTTGCCATCTTTTTCTCTGAAAATAAAATAAACATGAAACTTTTCAAAATAAAATAGTACATTTTTCATGACAAAACCCAACTTAACATCATCCTCCGAACCAAACCTTTTATTCTCTCCTTATATCGTAATCGTATCTCCAGTTTAATTTGCAACAAACCATTATCCTATTCGCAGTCAAAGGACAAGATTATTTGGTGTTCTAATAATTTGATTCCTGGTGATATTATTCAGCAAAGAAAGGATTCGAACTATTATGTAGCAGGATTCAAAATAATTCTCCATTGTCATCTTTCCTTCATTGGAGAGTTCTTTGGAGGCTTCAACTTCCTCTCAAATACGAACTTCTTGCATGGAAAATTTTGCATAGAGCTCTCCCAACTATTGACATTTAAGAGAGCATCATCTTCATGCCAATGTATCTTGTCCTTTTTCATGCAATTGTGATGAAACTCTTGATCACCTTTTTGTTGACTGTGCATTAGCAAGGGCTGTTTGTTTTACAGGAATCAATTTTAAAACTCCTGTTTTTCAGGGATAATCAATTGTCTCGTGTGGTTGCCTGATTTAATATCTAGGCTATTAAAAGATCATGAGTTTGACATGTTAAAGAAGATCTTTATCCTCTTGAATCTCATATATGGTCAAACCAAAACATGATCTTTTTCAATGCCACGCATCTCTATTGATGTTGAACGGATTCTGTCTGACTTTCGAAATCAGTGTTTCTTTTATTCAATATATGCTCTTGGAATATGCCTTTGGACGACGAAAGTTAAAAGGCAGAACCAAGTGACTTGCAAAGCTGTCATTTGTTTGCATTCAAATCCTGTTAATGGAATCACGATGAAGAAGAACGCTTCCCAAGACACAAATCTTTTCTCCTGTCGTCAGGAGAATCTGCCGATGTCTTGTCTACATGTGCATTGTTATCGTAAGGATTTTGTACCCTCTAGTGCTCTTCTGAAGCAGACTTCTCATCCAATTCTACAGGACATTCAAGCTTTCATCTCACAATTTGATAAACATCTTTTCAAGGGTCTTTAACGAAGAAATATTTTTCTTTGCTTGTTGTCTTTTACCGTGGTCCCTGTGTAACAGCATTATTGTGTGACTTTTTCTCTGTATATATTCCTTTTATAATGAATGCATTTTGACTTTTCCTCAAAAAAAAAAAAAAAATCATCCTCCGAACCTAACCCGTGGCTGTGCCCGACTCGATAGCCCTATGATGAGCAGGGGAGCATGCTGACGTCAATCGGAACCGGGCGCCCACAATTGCAACTCTGAGGATTTGGCAAAGTGCAAAGCTGACATTTTGGGACACCACTCACGCGGTTTTTCTAGAAAAAAAATTCATTCAACAGTTAACACCACACTTAATTTAAAAAGAAAAAAAAAGGTCTTTAAACGAAAACTCACTTTAAACTTGACTATTAAAGTAATGTTAAAATTAAAATATAAAATAAAATACTCAATATCCTTCAATTCTTATGATTCTTTATTAAAGTTATTCATTAACTAACAAAAATTGTTTGTATCACTATCAGGTTTTAATTTTATTTCAAATATTTTAATTATGGTAAAATAAATTATTCATTCTCTACATAAATATGTTTATTACAAGAATTTTTGGTATCATTATTAAATTTTAATTTTATTCTAAATTTATAATCATAGTAAAATAAATTATTTATTTCTCTACATGAAATTGTTCGTTAACTTACAAAAATTATTTGTGATATTATTAAATAACTTCATATAAGAGAATGAATAATTTAAATAGAGAAATAGAGGAGTTGAGAGGCAATGAGCTAATTTTACTTTACATTTAATTTCACTTTAATATCTCTTATTTAAAATGAATTTTCAAAATTTAAGGTGTTTTTTTTTTTTATGAAGTGTGATCAAGAGCTCTTAAATGAAAGTTTACTATCTTTCTATCTCTTTGAGCTTGATGATGTGGCAGAGGTAGTGGAAGCTGAGGATGGTTTTGGAAAGTTTTCCTCCAAGTCAGAAAAAAATTGGTCACCCGTTTGACGAGATTTTTTTTTGACCGAAGTTTCATTTTTTTTTGTTTGGCAAAGTTTGTTGAGATACTAGTTTAATGGCCTCCCTCCCCTTAGTTATTTTTCACGGCTTAACACAGATTCACCCATTAAAACAACGTTATGGATATGATGAGGACCAAATTGCTATAGTCAATGCAACACTCGCTCGCTCATATATTTTAAAAAAGTTTGACACCACTTGATGTTCTTGTCCAAACCCGGCCATTCCATCCTCACCACCAATCCTAATCCAGTCCTCTCTGCCACCAGATTTCGAAGCCTTCTTTCTCTCTTCCATTTTCACACACTTCAGCTCTCCACTTCCCTTCCATCGATCTTTCTTTGTTTCATCCACAAAGTAAATCAAATGACCACTTCCTCTTCTTCGCTTGTGGCTCTGCATCTCACATCCGCTCCTCGTCTTCTTTCCGCCTTTTCTCCCTCAATTCGTTCCCGAAGGCCTCCCTCTGCGTTTCGTCTCAGAACTCGTGCTATGGGCGCCGATTTTCTCGGCGATTTTGGCGCCAGAGACCCCTTCCCTGCTGAATTGGAAAGCAATTTTGGAGAGAAGGTAGTGGGTTACTCTGACACCGAGCACAAAATCCTTATCCCCAATCTCTCTGCTCTTTCCCTTGCACAGCAACAGTGCTCTCCTGTTTCGCCCCTGCAGTCTCCCATGTCTGAAGATGATGCCAAAAAACTGTTGAAGAAGGTCTGAATTTACACCCATTTGCTTAATTTTGCTCTTTCTGTCGTTTTTTTAATGCTGTCAAATTTTGTGGGCAAAACTTTCTTTAGGTTGATGCTCTGATGGATAGGTGAACTTTCAACTTGGTTATTGATTGATAATTTATTTTAGTTTGGCCACAATGAAAAAAATTAAATCCATACAATGTTAACGGTCAGTGGAGCTAAATTGTGTTTCGTGTTAAATTTTGGATAAAAATAGGATCGAAGGACGACGTTTCAAATATTTTAACCATTGAAGGACTGAAATGAAAGAAATTATCTGTTGAGGAACAAATTGAAATGTTGGTGTTTCTCAAAAATGATATCTTCTTATGAGCTATTCTGTCTTCTACATCTGTTAACTGTGATTGATATACAAGCAGGGCTTGAATCATTGAATGATTTATCCTGAAATTACCCATGTATCTATCATAGTTTGTGGCTTGCGGCTTAGCCTGTGTAGAGAAATAGTTTCTGCTTATGATCTTGTTTGTCTTTTGTCATAATTTCTGCATTGACAGAACTTGTCTATGTTAGTTTGCTGCTTAGCCTGTGAAAAGAGATCGTTCATTGTAATTTAGAGGGTACTGGCTTTTGGTAGTTGATTCCTGAGCTGTTATAACATATGAAAATCCTGTACTTTGGGAATATGGCATAAGATGATTTATTTTGAGTTCAATATTTTAAATCAGGTTATGTTAGTCCTACGTTTTTGTTCATAACAAGAATTTAACCTATATAAACTTATCTGAAGAATTATGAGTTCCTTTGAATATAATCTAGTGAATGTGAAGTTTATATACTTGCTGAGCTGTTGAGCTAACTCTTTTCTTCTATATCTTTTCATAGAACTATTTTATATGAAATTGGGAACAAAGACCATTCCTAATTAGGAATGTACATGGTTTCGGGCCGAGGTGGGTTTGTTGCATGTGCTTCTCTTTTTGTAGAATTTTCTGAGTACAGAACAAATGGACATCTATAATATGTACCTTAATTTTCTTCAACTCAACCTTGAAGCCTGGTTCTCTCTTTGTTGTCAATGTGATTATAATTTTCTTGGTCATGTTCCAAATCTAGGAAAACAGAAATGCAATTTTTCTTTCATTAAGAAGATATTGCTATCGAGCTGTCATGCACTGTCAGGACACTTGCAAATGCAATCATTGTCCTGCAAGACTTATCTGTTTGAGGGGCCCGTTACTACTTACCCTTGTGAATTCTCTGTTCTAGGGTTAATGTTATACAGTCATTTAAATTTAATGTTGGATGCTTTAAGTTCAGTTTTATACTTGCGATTGAGCTGACATACTCATAAAGTTGCTTCTCCCTGATAATTTTTAATAACAAGTCATGCGAAGAAATTAGTTTTGTTCATGGTTTCATCAGTTTTCCCATCAATATTCAATTATGTAATTACAGTAAATCAAGGCTGATTCACTTGCAAACATGATGTACAATCAATGATGTTTACTCTAAGAATCTATTTTGTGGTTAATTAATGTCCATTTCATTCCTAGTTTGATCCCAAGTCTTATTTGAAGTAAGTTCATTCTTAGTCACTGAAGCAAATTTGATGGAAGTCCATTTCACTTTCTTTTTTAAACGCATATTTTTGTTAGTTTGTTTAGATTGTTGGTTGGAGACTACTGCATGAAGAAGGTGCACTTAAACTTCAATGCTTGTGGAAAGTGAGAGATTTTAACCGGGTTGAGCTCATCAACAGGATCCTTAAGGTTACAGAGGCTTCAGGCCATTTCCCAAATCTCCATTTCGAACAACCAAATCAAGTGAGGGCAGAATTATGGACAGCTTCCATTGGTAAGTCCTAAACTAGTCCATTTTCCCGGTTTCATCGGTCAAACGCTTTTCAGTCTATAAAACTTTGTTTAACAAATCAATTATCCTTGGACATGTAGTGTGCCAAAAATGAGCTATATATCATTCCCAGGTCTCATCTGGTTGAAGTGTAACTTAGAGAGAAGAATGGAAAATGGGATTCTTAACCAATGCATGCATGTTTGATTCATTGCTTTCTACAATATTTTATTCAGGAATCTTGATACAACTATTTTGAAGGAATTCATTTTTCACCCTCAGAATTGGGGAAGAGCCCCGCATCCGGAGGAGAGTGTTTTCCAAACAATGTCTAAAATGCCCTTGTTTCCTTTTTAATTATTGAGAAATTCATTATTTTATTAGGTTAATGAGCAAATAGAACCTTAAACTATTACTTGAAAATTGCCATGGACCCTGAACTTTTAAAATATGCAAAATAAACCCTAGACGTTTAATTAATAGCAAATAAACCCTGACCGTTAACTTTTTTAAGACTGTTACTATCCACGCAGGTATTGTTTAGGATTTATTTTCCTACAAATTTAACCTTAACTGTTAAAGTACTTGTGGTGAACAATAATGGTGTTAAAAAAGTTAATAGTTAGGGTTTATTTTATATGAATTTAAAAGTTTAGAGTTTATTTTGTATATTTTAAGAGTTCGGGTCCAAGGCAATTTTTGAGCAAGAATTCAGGGTTCTATTTGCTAATTAACCCTATTTTATTACGGGTAATTAAAAAATGTAAATGGGTATTTAATGTATTCTGTAAATATATGAAAAAAAAATTTTTTTACTGACTAAAAATATAAATATTTATGTGAGATGGCCTTTGGATAAATGGATTTGGATTTTGAATTTAAAATTTTACATTTAAAATCTGTCAATTACTTAAACTGTAATATTTTAGTAAGGAGATTTATGGTTATTTAACTACTGTTTTCCTCCCTCAAAATAAAATATCTTCTTTTTTTATTTTATTCAGCCCATCACAAAAGTAAAGGAAAGCATATTTCTTTTGCATTAAATATTAAACATGATTTTTCTCATTTAGTGTTGGTCCCAAATAAATGTAAGTTTTCTCTTCCTCTAAAAAATGTTTTTAAGCCATTCATATTAAATTCTTTTGTGAACCTATGAATGTTCACTATTCAGCATGATTGAATAGCATGGAGATTTTAGTTGACCGGAAGGTTTCAATTTGTGCAGGAGGATTGAGTATGAATGACTTCATAGTCGCGGCGAAGATAGATGAGATCAAGACATCAGATCTGGCCCCAAAGAAAAGGGTTTGGGCTTAATGGATCTTGACCCCATTAGCCACTGTACAAGTAGAACGTCCTTTTCACAAAATCACCCATTGTCTGGAATCATAAAGAAATATAGAGAACTTGCTGAGAAGAACTGGATGATCAGTTTTAAATCATGTATGCAGAAAAGTAAATCAAGTGCTAACTGGCTTGCTTACCAATCATGAATATAATTTAGATATTAAGATTTATGATGTGCTTCCAACAGGGTGAGGAAGTTGCTTTATGATTTAATTGTTTGTCCTTTTGCACAATTTTTATCCGTGAGCTTGTAATTAAAAAAATCACTACTAGCCTGGATCGTGGTTGGATTCCATATTCATTCTCCTTATTTTTTTATTAATGGTCATTTTCCTTATGAGCAATTGTATGTATACATGTACATACACATAAATAGATATATATATAATATAATACATATCAATGTATGTATGTATTTGTTTTGTCCATGTACGTGTACTACATCAGTAGTTTGAGTAGTAGCAATTTCAAGTAAGGGTGAGCAAACCAAACAAAATCAACGGTATAAACTAATTAAATAAAATTAAATAAAACCAATCATTAGTAAAGTTTAATTTGGTTTTATAAATTTAAAAATCAAATGATTTGATTTAAGTTTTTTTTTCTTTTGAAGCCTTAATCAAATCTAAATCATACCTTTTATATTTTTAAATGTATTTTTATAATTATAGTAGTTTATCAATGGTTATTTTTTTTTAAATTTTAATTTCAATTAAAGTCTAGTTTCAAGTTCAAAATATTTTAATAGAATTCTAAATCCTAACCCTTTCTTTCTCAAGTTTATTATTAGAGAGTGAATACATATACTAGTGTTACTTCAAGAATGATCTTTTAAATAATTTTTAGATGTGTAATTCTCCTTTTTTAATAAAATGAGTTACTTTTAATTAAGGATATTGAGACAAATTGTAAGGAAACTTGGATATGTTGTTCATTTCAGTTCATGATGATAAAGTGAGAATGTGACTTGTAGTTTAGAATATAAGCTGAAAAAAAGTAAAAAGTTATGCTTAGACTTAATGTATATTTTTATATGTTACAAAAATATTAAAACTTGATCTAGATATAAATCAAATTGAACATACTGATTTTAATAAAAAAATTGATTAAATATTATTTTTTTGTACAAATCGATTAGTTTCGTTTGGTTCTTTTTTTGATCAAAAATTGAACTAAAACCACACTTTTAATTACCCTATTTTAAGTCCGACGACTTAGTTTAATAAGTTCAAACAACTTTAAAGTTGAACATGAAAAAATAAAAGGAAGAATGAACATTTAAAGACATCTCTAAGAAATTTATTACTATAAAAGCCTATCTAGTTTTGCATTAAATATTATTTTGTGAAAATATGTATTTGTTAGTGTTTAAAGCTAAACTTAAATTATTAAATTTTAAAGAAACTCTAACAAAAAATAATAAATTAAGGTTCAATTTTTTACATCTATATTTTTCACAAGACAACAATCCAATAAGTCTTTATTAAGAATAAATTTTATTACAAAGGCCTTAATATCATTCTCGCAGAACTAAAGCATTTTTTTATGAGGTTTTCGGGGCGAGTTCAAATAGGTCCCAAATAAAATTCATTCAGTCAAGTGATAAGACTTGAGGCTCCTTTAGTGATAAAAAAATATTTTTTTGGCCAGAAAAAAAATTCTTTATAAAGATACAAAATTAAAAATGATATTATTATTTACAATTTCT